GCTGACTTTACTTTGATATCCTTCTTCCTGAACAGTGAAATGATATCGGAATCAGGAAAAGAGAGTAAGAACTCTACCAATCATCCAGAGTGTGGGGTGGGGTAGTTTCAAGCAAAATCCATTGCTATTCTGTGATTAGATATTAGCTTTGAGGGAAAAGGAAAGGAAAACATAACCAAAGAGCTGTGATGTTACTTTAATACACGTTGATATGGTTGATATGGTCGAAGGAGCTCCCCAACAACCTGGAACAACTTCGACGGTCTATTTGCTGCAGACACTATGCGAGCAGTCGAGAATGTTTTCCTGGTTGCTCGCAAAGCCGCGGAATAAGCCCTAATAGCGGCTTTAGCCCGTGCTTGGTCAGATATATCCTGAGATTTCCTCCAGATGCCCTCTAGACCCCTCATCACAGCCAGCTCCTCAGTGAACCAGGGAGTTGGTGTGGTTCTGCGCAACGAGAGGGGACGTTCGGGAACCATCGTGTCAATTGCCCTAGACATCTCACTATTATAGCGATCAACAAGGGCGTCGACAGGATCGCCAGTCTCCAGGACAGGAAGATCCCCAAGAGACCTCAGGAATCCTTTTGGATCCATCAGTCTCCTGGGGCAGACCATCTTAATGGGTCCACCACCCCTGCGGAGGTTAGCGGGTACGGTTAATCTTAAACTGATCAGATGATGGTCAGACCATGACAGTGGAAGGATGTTTTGCTCTTCCACTCTGACTGTCCCACTGTCCACAAGAAAAACAAGGTCCAACATGTGTCCTGCTTGATGTGTGGGGCCAGATATTACTTGAGTCAGCCCCATGGTCGTCATGGCAACCATGAAATCCTGAGCTGCACCTGACAATGTGGTCTCGGCATGAATGTTAAAGTCTCCCAAAACTAAAAGTTTTTGGGAGGCCAAGGCCAAATTTGAGACCACGTCTGCTAGCTCAGACAGGAAAACTGCCGGGTTGCGGGGTGGACGGTACACCATCAGGATCCCCAGGCTGTCTCGGGTTCCCAATTTCAAGTAGACACACTTGACCCTTGAAGATTGCAGAATGGTGCATCTGATCAGGGCGATGGACTGCCGAAAGATCACTGCAACCCCACCTCCCCGCCCCCCGGACCTAGCCTGCTGATGCACACCGAAACCTGGTGGGCACAGCTGTGTAGAGAGGGAATTCAAGAACATCTCTCTTTCTTCTGAGGTTGGAAATCTGGATCCAGTTTTAGAGGAGGAGGTGTATCTTAGATTCTGTGATGTTTTCCTATGGACTGTAAGATTATAGTTGAAAATCTGGATTCTTAAACAAAACAAGATTAGAATTGATTTCTCTTATTAACATGCATGTTATCAGAGAGTGTTCTCATAGTAAGTGTATGACAAACAACCTGTTTATAGAGGTTCAAATTCCCTTGACTGGGATAGCAGAATGCCAAACCACAGTAATATGAATCTAAGAGAGGTGAGCTAAGTTGATAGGAAAAAATGCAGGCACCTCTCAGCAGAGATGACAAATATGGGTCACTTGTGACCAATGGAGGAAATACATAAATCCCTAAGACTGGCCTTACTAGGTTACACGTTCATGCTGTATTCTATCCCATTGGGCCAGCTCTGATGTCATATATTGCATTCATGGAAAGCTTTCTGCAAATGATTCTCATGTGGAAAATTGCTTCAGTCAAACATCATTCATGTAACTAGCTCAGGGCTACTTACTGTGAACTGAGACAAGGTTCTAAAACTGAACAATTTTCATTTATAGTATGAATAGGATTGAGGGGAACATTTTCACATGATATCTTGAAGCGAAAGCCTGAAATTTGATAAACTTTGACAAATGTATTTATATGCTATGTTGATTTTGTGACACATAAAATAAACTTCTAGTGCTACCAATCAAATGGCATGTCTTTTCCTTTTTAGCCAGTTTGGTACTAAATAAGACTATTGGTAACAAATGAAAAACTATAATGTTTGGATCCTATGGATTTTTTTTAATGAGGCAGGTCAGTTGCAGAAGGAATGCCTTGACTGGAAACACCCACTATCAGTGGTAAAGGAAGGAAGTCACCATGGCAGTCCCCGCAGGTGTCTCCTCAGAGGAGCTAGAAATGGAAGCTGCTGTGGTAGCCCGTATCAACAAACATGTCTGCATAGTTTTCATATCCACAGGAAAAGGTCTTTTGTCAACTACCCTTTCCAGATCAAGCTATCCCAACATTTTCGCATTAAAATAGGAATGCGAAATTTTTGGAAGGAAATCTGCCCCCTGCTCTTCTCCCAGCTATTCTGAGGATTGAAGCTAAATTCAGAGAGGACAGAGAAGACAAAGGCGGTAATTGTTGATGATGTAGACATAAAATATCTTGCTGCTCCAATTTGGTCAGCCCTTATTCAACTACACTGTCTGTAACTTAATCTTACCCTCTGGCACAGGGGTTATTAAACTTTATTTGTACCCCGCTAGCATCTCCCGCAGGACTCGATGCGGCTTACAAAGGCCAAGGCCTCAACAAACAATACAACAATACAAACCTAGGCAAATTAAAAACAATTAAAGCAATCTAAAACAACAAGCAATGAACAATCCACTAAGACACAATAAAACTGGGCCGGGCCAGAGTAAGGGTACAAGGGTTAAAGGTGCTGATGTGACAGGTGGAAATGAGGCTTATGGGCAAGTGCAGTGTGCAGTGTGCGGCGATCTTGGCTTTAATAAAGTGCTTGTGGGACTTGGTAATGGAGGTTTCCTATTCGGGAAAGGCACATCGGAACAGCCAGGTCTTCAAGTTCTTTCTGAAGACTGCCAGTGTAGGGGCCTGTCTAAGATCTTTGTTCTCAAGGGTTCTCAAACCCTTTCAGCCATGGAGCCCTTTTTGTAGAAAAGGTTTCTTGTGGAGTCCCAAGAAATCATATTCTATTATATTAGAATATTATATTATATTTAAGTAATGTATATACATCGGGCATGGGGAAATGTTGGACACAGGTGCTGCATTGCATTTTAAAATTTGACAGACAGCCTGGGCAAAGGGAAATGGGTCTGGGTGGCATGGGGCAAAGGAAAAAGATTGTGGGCAGCATGGGGGCAAAGGGAAAGGGATCTGGGCAGAGTGGGGGCAAAGGGAGAGGGATCTGGGCAGCATGGGGACAAAGAGGGATCTGGATGGTGTGGGGTGAAGGGAAAGGGGTCTGAGTGACACGCTGCCCTTCCAGGGCTTAACCCTTTCCACGCCACCGAAGTGCATCCTCCATGTGTCCTGCAGCTTCCCCACCATGCGCCTTTAAGTGTCTCACCATCTTCCCAAGGGTGCATGCCTGTCTCCTGCCTGTCTCTCTCTTTCTGTCTGCTGCCTGTCCACCTTTCTCCTTCTTTCCATCTTTTTTCTGTCTCCGCCCACCTTCTCTTTTTCTTTCTTTCTGTCTGCTCATGGTGAGAGGGTGCTTTCAGCAGCGGGGACTTCCAGTCGGGTACACTTGGAGGGAGGAAAAGTGGGGAGAAGGCGGGAAGCGTGGAGCCCCTCAATTTGCTCTATGGAGCCCTAAGGGCTTTGCAGAGCACCGCTTGAGAACTGCTGCTCTAGCAGATTAGAACTAAACAGAGAGGCTAAGTGAATGGATAAAGGGAAGAATACTCTGAAGGCACCAGATTCTATCTGATTTTTGAAGTTAATCAGCATAAACCCTGATTAGTACTTGGATGGAAGAATTTGAATGAATACCAGAGGTGGTAGACTATACTTCAGAGCAAGGAACTAGCAAAATCACCTCTGCATAATCTTGGCCTAAGAAAAGCCTAGGAAATTAGCACAAGTTGACAGGTAACTTGATTGCACATAGACACACACAACATACAGTAGATGAAGTCAGCACAATTGTAGTTAGTTGACAACCATCTCAAACCTGGAGCAAAGATTTATCTCATCTCAGAACTAATCTGGACCTTATTGCACAAGGCTCTAAAAACGAGTTCTGGCATTGCAAACCTGGAGTATATCTGGATAACCACTGTTCTTCTCACACAAATCAATTCAAGAAGCCCCTTTAAAAAGCTTAAAATGTGTTTAGTTTACTGCAACTGCTGGGATGTAACCACCTAACCTGTACATTACCCCTCTTCATCCATGTCCCCCTTTTAACGTTTTCTTCAAAAGAACTGTGCAACCACGAGAGTTGAAAATCGATTGAAACTAGGGCTTTCCAAGTACACAAGAACTGCCCTACAATTACCTAAAATATTAATAAAAATAAAGATATATTTTGCAATTCACAACCTTTCTTATTTTGTGGATTCTTCAAGGGGTGGTGGCGGCCTACTTTTGATTGGAAAATCTTGTTTAGCAATGCACAAGAATGCACGAGCGGAGAGTTTTGCAAGACAGACTTGCAAACAAAAAGAAAAAGATTAATTAAGAAGGGAAATTCTGATCAGTGCCTGGAATTATCTGTGAAGTTGCAACTTTACTTGAATTACTTTTTTTTTAAGAAAAAGGAAGTTAGTTGGATAAAAGAGTGAAATTATGGCTTTGCAGCCAGAGGTTCTCTTGGGCTGACCATGAGACATGGAATGGCAAGCAGTTTGGGGATGTGGAAGCAAAGCAGTTCAGAGTGACATTCACAACATGCACAGTTATTGTCCCAAACTCACTGCACAAGCACTTTTAGATTATTGCACCACCTGAAAACACTTTGAACACCAATTCCCATTGATTGAAAAACACTGCTTAGATATTAGTTTACAACTGGTTTGGAGTGAATTTGGAACATTGTGCAATGGTGAGTGCTTCTGTTCATGGCTAGGGAGCTTCAAACATGTGCTACAAGCCTCCTACCACACTGTCCTAACAAACTTTTCTAAGGTCATAGAAAGAAACAGGATAACAAATTGGAAGCACCTGGCTTCCAGGGTAAACCCTGAGAACCCCTCTGAGATTATTTGACTAAAATCATTTATTCTTGTGTACATTTACAATTTCAGAAATAAAATAACATGTTTACCTGATTTCAGGTGTTGGAATTCCTACCACAATGCAATCCAACTGCACTTTGGTTCCTTCAAGGACCTCCCTGCTCTTCAGTTTTTGAGTAAAATGTGGTGGCTGGCCTAAAGGCTCGTCTGAATAAAAGGATGCCGCAGGTGATTCTGTAGTTAAACCTGAAATTTCTAATGCAGTTACAGCTTCCAAGCCTGCCTGCTGAAGGTTATCTGGCTGTTCAAGTGTGTGCTCAGTTTTATCTAAATCTTGAGCTACTGGAGCACAAGGCCTTTCTCTGTTTTCTGAGAGATTTGAAAAAGCACAACTGTTCTCTTGGGCAGCCTTATTTTTAGACTCGAGTTTGCTTTTGTAGTTTTTGCATGTCCTGGGTCTGATTCTTTTGGAATTGTGTGCTTTGAAAAGTGAAGACAGCTCCTCAATAAAATCAGCAGCCTTGTTCAGGAATTCCTTTTTGGACTCAGCCTCTGAACTGGATGTCTGCTTCTTTTGACTGCTGTCCAAAGTCGGTGAAGATGCAGGCTGGAATTGTGGTTTTTTGGAAACTGTATTTCCAGAGTTTTTCAACTCAGAGGGATAAAACACATGAACCTGTTCATCTGGCTTGCTCTCAAGGGGATCTTGAGAGATGGCCTGTCTTGCCAGGTTCACACTTTGATCTAACTCTTCTTGGCTCAAAAAAGCAGAAAGATCGGGAAGGTCATCTTGTCCAGGCACCTCATCGGAAGAACCAGAGGTATCGCCACAATGGAAAGAATGTGGAGATGGTTCAGATCTACTCCTTTCGCTATTCCCTTGATGGCTGTTTTCAGCTAGATAGCTCTCTCTCAGCAGTTGAGTTATGGAAGTGGAAGGTTCTGAAGTATTGTCTTGCATGCTGTTAACAGAGAGTACAAATAGGACCATAGCCTCATCAATAGTAAGTCTTTTGCTTGTATTGAATTAAAAAGAAAACAGGGCTATTCTACTCAGACAAATGGCTTCTTTTAATATTAGGACTTTGACCCTATTTGGTAACCAACTGGTGTGTGTATGTGTGTTGGGGGTGGGGTTCAATGTGGGATTAGTTTGGAGACTTGGGAGAGGCAAGTATTAATCCCTGCAGAGCCATGGAACTTGGTTGGTTTTGAGCTGGTCACTTTCTCTCAGCCTTACATAGCTCAAGGGTTATTATGAGAATAAATCTTCTATGAACTGGCGCGAACTCTTAAGATCTTCTGGGAAGGCCCTCCTTTCACTCCCACCACCGACACAAGTACGGTTGTTGAGGACGAGAAAGAGGGCCTTCTCGGTGGTGGCCCCCCACCTCTGGAATGCCCTTCCAAGGGAAATAAGATAGGCCCCATCCCTCCTCTCCTTTCGTAAGCACTTGAAGACCTGGTGGTTTCAACAAGCCTTTGAGATTGACCAGTTCTAGTCCAGCCCAAACATTGTTGAATATGGCCTTGCACTCTTACCTATTACCCCGGTCATCCCTCTAATAATTTTATGCTTATGTTGTCTTGTTAACTTTATGTTGTGCTGTTTACTTTGTATGTTTCGGTGATGTACTTGGAAACCGCCCTGAGTCCCCCTCAGGGAGATAAAGTGGTATATAAATAAAATTATTATTATTATTATTATTATTATTATTATTATTATTATTAAAGTAAAAAGGAGAGGGCAGGAACTAAACGGTTCTGGCCCAACTTATCTATCCGAACGTATCTCAGCCTATCAGCCCACCAGGACCCTAAGGTCTTCTGGGGAGTCCCTGCTCTCTATCCCGCCGGCTTCACAAGTGCGGCTGGCGGGAACGAGAGACAGGGCCTTTTCTGTGGTGGCCCCTCGGCTTTGGAACACCCTCCCTATAGAGGTACGATCAGCCTCCTCGCTGATGGTGTTTCGGAAGAGATTAAAAACATGGATGTTTAAACAAGCATTCGGTTAATCCGTTGCAACGAATTTTGATGACTAAAGGATTGGTAATCATGGACGATGAATTTTGGACTGCGATTCCAGTTATGAGATGCATGGGATTATTATTGGTGGCCCAATAATTTGTATTGTATATGTGTTTTATGCTTTTAAAGTGAATACTGTTTTTTAAATGTAAACCGCAATGAGTCGCCGACTTAGGCTGAGATATTAGCGGTATACAAGCGTATAAATAAATAAATATATATATACAGTACCCAACAGGAGGAAAGATGTGCTATAAAATAACAAGAAGAAATTTAACAGTAGAATAATAATAATAATAATAATAATAATAATAATAATAATTGTTTTTGTGTGCCTTCAAGTTGTTTCTACTTTATGGCAACCTTATCATAGGGTTTTCTGTGGCTGTGATTATATGATAAATCTAAGGTAACTCAATGGGTATCCATGGCTAAGCATGGAATCGAACACTAGTCTTCGGAGTAGTAGTTCAGTACACAACCCAGAACACCATGCTGTTTCTTTACAATACATAATAGAGACAATATATATTGTTTTATAATCTAATTCTCTCTCTCTCTCTCTCTCTCTCTCTGTGTGTGTGTGTTTACCCATCCATCCATCTATCTATTTGTTATTTCATTTTTGGAAGTCAGTTATAATCCCCCCAAACAGTGGTCTGGGATCTGAGAGTGTTAAGAGATTATAAACTGCCTGCTCACAAGTGCCATAACAAAGTTGGTGCCATGAACTGCCTTATACTGATTCATCTTTCTAGTCCAAGTCCTGTTGACACATAGTGTAGCAGCTGTCAGGGCATCAGGCAAAGGTCATTCCCAGCCCTGCAGGCTAAGTTCCTTTTAATTAGTATTGCTGGACAGTGGCCCTTAACTTTTTGCATGCAAAGCATTACTACTATGCTATCGCCCTTCCCCTCCCAAATCAAGAATTTCCGGCCACTAAACTATGGTTGTTCTTGGGGGGAAGGTGTCTGTTCCAATTTTGAGGAGTGTAGATGCTCCAACAACTCATACAGTTCTATACGTTTACTTATTTACATGTTTATAAATGTAGTCAATCAGAGATGAAATTAAAGCATGGATCATCGGTTTGTTTCATTTTGAATGCCACTGATCCCTCAAAAGCTAAAATAATAAACAAGCTTTTTAACCACACTATGATGGTTAAACATGACAGTCAGTGGCATAATGAAAGAAATTCACTTTTTGGCTAGCAGGAGAACAAAAAACATCATCTACCACCCTTCCAGGCTCTCTTATTCCAACTCTGTTTAACTGCAGGCCCTCATAATAGTAGAGGGCTGAATTTTTGCACCCACTGCATATTGATTCTCTCTCTCTCCCCCTCCCCTCCTCTCTTGAGCTGTTTTGGTCCTGTCCCTGATGGAGATGAAATATTCTGGAATTGGTTTGTTGATATGGATCAACAGGTGCCTGCATTTTTGAACTCTCCTTAAGGGCTTGAGAATAGGGATGGTCATAATCACAACAAGCACCTTAACTTTAGAATATGTCACTCTATTGCTATTGACAGGACTAGAAAGAAGTCACCCAAGATCAGGCATGTAGGCGGGGGGGGGGGGGGGGGTTGAGGGGCTTCACCCCCCCCCCCCCCCGAAATTCTCATGGTCCGCGAGAAGGCCTTACTGGTACATTATTTAAACTGTTATGTTTATTCATATCATGATCTGATCACCATACTCAATATATCCCATATGCATGGGGGCATTGGGGTAATGATACAAAAGGTTTGCTAGGGTAGACCCTCTTTCACTCAGACTCAGCCCCCCCCCCCCGAATCAAAATCCTGGCTACGGGCCTGCCTAAGAGGTCCTGATGGCCAAGACAGAGTCTTAACCTATGCTTCTCAGAGTCCTAGTCCCATAGGCAAACTACTACATCACACTGTCACTGTAATGACCTCATCATACAGGCTAATTTGCCTGTCATGCACTGATTAGTCCAGGGGTCCTCAAACTTTTTAAACAGAGGGCCAGGTCATAGTCCCTCAAACTGTTGGAGGGCCGGATTATAATTCGAAGAAAAAGAAACATGAATGAATTCCAATGCAAACGACACATATCTTATTTGTAGTGTGAAAAACACTTAAAAACAATACATTTATTTATTTATTTGGAACATTTATACCCCGTCCTTTCTCAACCTCCAAGGAGGGACTCAGGAAGATTACGAACAGGCAACAATTTGATGCTGAAACAATAAAACACATAATAAAATACAATCAAATGCCTAAAAACAATAAATATAAATCTACATTAAGACAGTTCACCAAGTTAAAAACGTCAACCAAATCCATCCAAATCCAGAATTAAAATGAAGAACAATTTTAACAAATATAAACTTATTAGTATTTGAATGGAAAGTGTGGGCCTCCTTTTCGCTGATGAGATAGGATTGTTATTGTTGTTGTGTGCTTTCAAGTTGCTTCAGACTTAGGTTGACCCTGAGTAAGGGTGGGTAAATGACCTTGGAGGGCCGTACCCAGCCCCCGGGCCTTAGTTTGAGGACCCCTGGATTAGTCTCCCCTTTTGCCGCAAAGCTCATCCCACAATGTGCATCTACTTCTTGCAGGGCTCCGTTGCAAAAGGGGAGAGAAAGCAGCATATGCCGCCACCGCGGCAACATGGGCAGCCACAAAAATGAAGTTTCTGGAGTAGAACAACTACTTTCATAGCAAGGACCACAGAATTAAACAAGAATAATACTTTCAAACCAGAAAAAGAACATCTCTCAAATTTTGTTACGTAGTGATATCTTCAATAGCACTCTTAGGGCCCTACAGATTTGTCACAATGCATGGCAATAGGTTAATGTGATAAGGTCCTTAGATGATAGTACAAAAAGTTATGACAGTCAGACTTTGAGAGAATGTGTTCTCAGAGTTTGGGAGCAGGCATGTAGCCGGGGGGGGGGGGGGGGCCGCAAGAAGGCTTACTGGTACATTATTTAAACTGTTATGTTTATTCATATCATGATCTGATCACCATGCTCAATATATCCCATATGCATGGGGGTATTGGGATAACGATACAAAAGGTTTGCTAGGGTAGATCCTCTCTCACTCAGACTCAGCCCCCCCCCCCAATCAAAATCCTGGCTACCCCCCCCCCGAATCAAAATCCTGGCTACAGGCCTGCTCATGAGGGTGGATTCTGGGAGTTATATTCCAGCTTTGCCCCTTCCCTGTTTCCTAACTGATGTCTCCTAAGGTGGTCATATCACTTTCTTCAGTGGTAAGGTCACCCTGGGATATTTGGAAGCTTAAAACCCATCTGGAAGGGCAAATCTGAATTTATTATGGCATTGAGGCACAGAAAATAGAAATTATGTAATAGAAAATGAAGGCCACAACATACAAAATGAATTATAAAATGAGACCAGTCAAGGACTGAAACCCTTCCCCCTTGCTGTAGTCCTGAGGAAATCATCTCCAGAAATCCACTCCTGGATAATATTTTGGAATCATTCCCACACCTGTTTTCAGGCCCACACCAGGGAAGGAGACACCTCAAGTCTCTGAAGTAACTGGTTACTTCTAATTGGATTCTTCTCTATATAACTATGGTATAATTACACTACATATATACCGTAATAAGGGAATAACATACTTTTGATGAGCAACTGAAACATCCTACTTGTTTTTTTATAGTAATGTGGTAAAAGACCACATAAATTGATGGAGGAAGAAAATTATCTGGTTTATGCAAGTCCTTCATGTTGCTGCTTTGCGCTCTCTTGGAGATATGGGCAAAGGGAGAACATGAGTAGAAGATGGGCAAAGAAAAAGCTAAATTTATATCACATCTCTGATGGTGGTGACATTGCCCTTCTGAAAAGTATCTCAAAGTAACTATTAATGGTACCTGTGGGAAATGAGAAGAGTAACAAATTGCTTTTAAAGATGATAACCATC